GGTCACCGTCTGGATGTGGTGATGGTCAGCCTGGGGTGCAGGGCTGGGCTCAGAGGGCCCTTCCAGCCCCAGCTGCTCTGGGATCCTGGAATTGTGCTGTTCAAACAGCGCTGCCCCGGTTTGAGGAGAACCAAGGGCTGTGGGGTGATCCCAAACCCAGCCTGGGCAGGGCAGGGTGGGCTCCGAGCCTTTGATGCCACACAAAGGGCAGGATCTGTTCCCTGCCCGGGCAGGTGTTGGCAGTGTCGGGTTCTCGGGCTGGGCTGGGCACAGGGACACGTCAGGCTCGGCATCTGCTCCCCTCAGGGTCCGGTTGCAGGGGGGAAAGGGGGGGCTGGGACATGAAACCTTCCAGCTTTGGGGACATCAGGATGGGGGGGTTCTCCAGCCCCTCGCTGCCCCTGGAGCGGGGACAGGGATCCTGTGGGGCTCCAGGAGCTTTTCCTGTCCCCTTTGATCTGCTCCCTGCCAGGTCAGTTACAGTTCCCTGCCAGGACCTGGGGTGGGGGGGTGGGAGGCTCCTGCTCTGTTTGTGCAGATGGAATTTTTTTGTTCTCTGGGGCCTTTTTAGAGAGAATCAGTGCAGCCACCTGCTCCCAACCTGCTCTGGGAGGTCAGAGCTGTGCAGGGAACAGGTGGGAAGCAGGGAGGGCTCTGTGGAGGGAAATGGAGCCCTGCACCCCCCTGTCCCCTCCTGTCCCTCCCCAGCATCTGCTGTGCCCCCTGCCCAGGTGTGGGGTGCCTCACAAACAGCTCCAGCCCTGGCAGGACCGTGGCAGCTCCTCCTGGGGTGTGAACACAGAATTTTGGGTTCCTGGGAGAGCACCTGGGCTCAGCCTCCCCACCTGTGGTGCTGCTGCTTCTCCCTGAGCGTGGCCCCAGGCTGTGACTCAGTTTCCCCTCTGGAGGAGCCATCCCCTTCCTGCAGCTGGGAGTGCAGGGCTGGGCCAGCTCGGGGGCCAGCAGGAGCCTGGCTGGCTGTGACCAGGCTGGCCTTGGCACCCAGAAGTGCCAGTGGGGAGCTGGGAGGGCCACGGGGATGGAGAGACTGGGATGGACTGGGCATGGTGAGGGAGAGACTGGGATGGACTGGAGTGGTCATGGGGATGGAGAGAGACTGGGATGGACTGGCCATTGGGATGGAGAGAGACTGGGAGAGACTGGGATGGACTGGGCATGGTGAGGGAGAGACTGGGATGGACTGGGTGTGGAGATGGAGAGCCCAGGGATGGAGTGGCCACTGGGATGGACTGGTGGTGCAGATGGAGACCAGGGATGGTGCTGGACAGCTAGAGATGGTGATGGAGAGCCCAGGGATCTGGTCAGGGTGAGGGAGAGACTGGGATGGACTGGGCATGGTGAGGGAGAGACTGGGATGGACTGGGTGTGGAGATGGAGAGCCCAGGGATGGAGTGGCCACTGGGATGGACTGGAATTGCAGATCAGCGGGTGAGGGACAGGGGACAGGGACAGCTCAGTGATGGAGAGCCCAGGGATGGACTGGCCATGTCCGAGGTGACCCCACAGCCAGGTGCCCCTGGGGATGCTCAGCCCCTGCCCAGGTGCCCCTGGCACTCAGGGCCAGGGCAGGAGGAGGCTGCACTGACGGGAAGCCGGGCAGGGGGAGCTGGGCAAGGGGAGCTGGGCGTTGCTATTTTCGCTCGCCACATCCTCTGTCAGTTTCTAAGAACTGCTGGCGGATTCCTGGTAAGAGATTTCGGGGTGTGACAGTGTCCCGTGAGGTGCAAACTGTCACCAGGCTGGGCTGTGGCCCCGGGGTGTCCGAGTGGGAGTTTCCTCCTGCTTACAGCTCGTGGGGGAAAAACCAGAGCAGGCTTTGCATTTCTGGCAAGTGCTGCTGCTCTTGGCACCTCCCTGTGCGTGTGCCCCAGCTCTGGGTCCCCTGGGGGTGTCACAGAGGGGACAGGAGGGTGACAACCTTGTGAGGAGCTCGGGAGCCACAGCGTGGCTCTCCCAGCGTGGATGGGAGGTGGGGTGGGGTGGGTTTGGGGTCAGGGAGGGTCCTGCTGCACCCAGCAGCATTGCTGTGCCCAGCTCTGCTGCACGGAGCTCTGGGAAAGCTGGGCTGGAGGGGGATCCCTGTTCCAAGGACAGCTGTATTTTTGGGATCTGGGAAGTTTGGCCTGCTCTTGTCACCCAGCTGAAGCCACACCCAGGCTCCAGAACTTTGGGAAGCTCTGCTGGACACAACATTCCTGCAGAACGGGGTCAGCAGGGAGGTGGGGGAGGACAGCCAGAGTGTGGGGCTCTGCCTGGGGAGGGACAGGCTGATGGAGGAATCTCCTTTTCCCTGCTGCTCCACACTCAGCAGCTGCTCTGAGCCTTCCTAAAGGAGGAGGAGGAGCAGGATCTGATGGCTGCCGTGTTTCCCTGTCCCAGGACTGCCTGAAGGCCTGTCAGGAGCAGATCGAGGCGGCCCTAGCCGAGAGCCTGAAGCAGGCATCCCAATCCCAGCAGGAATTCAGCGCCAAGGCGGCGCCCTACGGGGGCAGCCAGCCCACCAGCACCCCCACGGACGTCACCGACATCAACCTGTGACCCGCCAGGGCTCCAGCCCCTCCCTGGACCCCCCCGGCTCGCTGCACCCCCCCTGCCCACCCAGCACCCCCGAGGGGCCCTGCCAGGCTGGGAGCGTGGAGCGGGATCCGCGCCCGGAGCTGCTGCAGGTGGCAGGGGGGGCGAGCCAGGAGGTGCCAGGGCACGGGGAGCAGGAGCCTGCGTGAAGTTGGAATTGTTTCTGTGTTGGTGTTTCCTGGCTCTCTGGGCTGTTCATGGCCACTTCCAGCCCTGTGAGGGACAAAAACCACGGAGAGCCAGCCCTGCAGGACACGGATCCTCGCCACCCCCAGCTCCTTCCTGCGGGGCACGGGGCTCGTGGAGCAGCTGCTTGGTGGCCCCTGGGTCCTGATTGCTTCGTGCCACATTCCCGCAGCTCCGGGGGAAGCCGTGCAGCTGCTTCTGCTTGGACAGGACCCGTGGGGCTCGTTTGTTTTTGCTGTTGGATGTGGGATCTCGGGGACACGGCGCTCCCTGTCCGTGCCTTGGGAGGAGTTCAGGGTCCCCTCGGCTGCTTAATTTATTGTTCACTGCTGGGAAAGGGGAGGGAGGAGAGCTGGCATTCCTTGGGTGGGGCCTGGGTGCCGCTCTCCTCTCCTTCCCAACAAAGTGCCTTCCCCCTTCGCCCCTTCCCCGGCTCCCTGGGCAGTGGGGCTCCCCTCGGAGGCTGCTGGGCCCTTTGGTAGCTTAGGCATCAGACTAGGATTTGAGGAAAACCTTTGAATGTGCTGCTATAGTCTGGGATGCATGTCCACTCTTCCAAGGCAGGGATTTCGGCTCACGCTCAGGAGGGGGCTGCGTTCACCCACGTGGATCTGAGCTGCCTCCTCAGAGGGTGGAAAACTTTGCTGCGCACTCGAGTTGGAAAAGCAATTACTGCATTTTTGTATTGTTGTTGTTGATCCTGTTAGTTTTTTATAAAAATTGTTGTAAAACAGAAAAAAAAAAAGGGAAAAAAAAATAATGCTGCTTTTCTATGAGAAAACCAGATGGAATTAACCAGGAGAAGGCAGAGACTCCACAGGGAGGGGAGGCAGACGCTGCTGCTGCTGCTTGGGGCCCTCTGCACGTGTGGCTGTTGTCCTCCCGTGGGAGATGTGGAAGAGGAGAGGTAGAAATCTTCCTCTTGGATGCCACCAGCCCCACAAAAATCCGGCGGAAAAAGGTGGGGCTGCTGCTCCTCCCTGAGCCTGCCTGCTCCGGAAACCCACGGAGCCGCTGCCTCCTGCGAGCAGGGGGCTGGGACAGAGCCTGCCTGTGCAAAAGGAAATGTGTTTGGTTTGTTTTTTACATATATATAAATATATCTATATAAAAGTGAATTTTTAATTTAAGAGTAAACTGGTTTGGCGTTCACTTGCACGAGAGAGCCAGAGAACCCTGTGATGTTGCAATAAAATATTTTAAACAAAAAATCCCCAGTGGCTTGAGGGTTTCCCTGTGCTGTTCTTGGATCTCTCCCTGGTTCTGGGGATCTCTTGGGAGCTCCAGCCCTGCTTTTCCCAGGATGGGGTGGGGAGAGGGCAGGCAGGACCCTGAGGGACACCCGGGGCAGCTCAGGGATGGTGATGGAGCCAAAACCTTCCTGCAGGTGAGGTGGCCCTGGAGCAGGGGCAGCACCTTCTCCCCAGCAGGCTGGAGGGTGACTCAGGTGGTGCCAGGAGAGTGCCAGGGGCTCTGTGCCAGCCCAGCTCCCTCCTGTGCTCACCAGCCTCTCGTTTTAAAATCAGATAAAATCAGGAAGTCACAGAAAAGGCTGAGGGGTGTGGGGACCCAGCTCATGCCACAGGAGGTGACAACAGGGGGCAGCTGCCCTTGGCACAGCTCAGGGTGCAGCAAGGGCTCCTCTCCGTGGCCCAAAGCTGCAGGGCACAGACCTGGCAGTGGCAGCAGTCCAGGGAAGAGCAGCCTGGTGCCAAAGTCCCCCCGGGTTTTCCAGCAGAGGTGGCACTGGGCACAGTGCCAGGGGCAGCCAGGCACGTGGCATCATGGCCAGGTGAGGACGGTGGCCCTGTGGCTTCAGGAGTAAACCCTGAGAGGCTTTGTTTGGGAAAATCCCTGGGCAAGGAGCTCCAGAGGCTGGTGGGGACAGGGACATGCTGGGAGCACAGGCAGAGCCACCCTGACTGACGGACACAGCTCTGCTTTTATTTCCAAGTAAAAGAACAAGCCAAAGTGTCCCCGTGCTGCTGGCACCGGGCTCCTGGGTGCCAGTGACAGCAGCACAGGGCTCAGTCCAGCTCTGTGGGCACAGCCTGTCCCCAGTGACCACCCTGAGCAGCAGGATCCAGGAGGGATGTTTTGATCCAGGAGGGATGCAGGATCCAGGATCCAGGACAGAAAGATGTTCTGATCCAGGAGGGATGCTCTGATCCAGGCTCCAGGAGGGATGCTCTGAGCAGCAGGATCCAGGAGGGATCCAGGCTCCAGGAGGGATGCTCTGAGGAGCAGGATCCAGGCTCCAGGAGGGATGCTCTGATCCAGGAAAGATGTCTGATCCAGGAGGGAAAGATGCTCTGATGCAGGATCCAGGAGGGATGTTCTGATCCAGGATCCAGGAGGGAAAGATGCTCTGATCCAGGAGAGATGCACTGATCCAGGATCCAGCAGGGATGCTCTGACCCAGCTCCCAGCAGCACCCCAGGCTCCAGCCCTCCCTGCTCACTCCATGGCCACCGGCTGCTCCCCTTCCACGTCCCTGGTCCCGGAGTTCATCAGCTCGCGGCGGATCTCGGGCGAGATCTGGGGGTGGCTGTGGAACTTGAGCAGCTCCAGCAGGGCCTCCTTCTGCTCCGAGGACAGGTCCTCCTTGTAGCGCTGCGCCAGGGCCAGCAGGCTCTGGTGCCACAGCACGGGCAGGAGCCGCTGCTCCGAGCGGAAGGCCAGGAAGTGGAAGACCAGGGCGTCGAGCACGCGGAAGGGCAGCGCGTACTTCTTGTCGATGAGCAGGCGCAGGAAGATGCTGTTGGCTCCGCTGTACTGCATCTCGGCCAGCTTCAGCAGCGCCGCGCTGCCAACGGGACACGGCGCTCAGGGACAGGACAGGGGACAGGAGAGGGGACAGGGGACAGAGACACAGCGGGTGAGGGACAGGGGACAGGGACAGCTCAGGGGAAGGGACAGGGGACGAGGACAGGGACAGGGGACAGGGACACATCAGGTAAGGGACAGGGGACAGGACAGGAGACAGGGACAGCTCAGGGTAAGGGACAGGGGACAGGGACAGCTCAGGGGAACGGGACACAGGGGACAGGGACAGCTCAGGGAGAGGTGAGGGACAGGGATAGCTCAGGGTAAGGGACAGGGGACAGGGACAGCTCAGGGGAACGGGACACAGGAGAGGTGAGGGACACGGACACGGGAACATGGAAAAGGTCAGGGGTCAGCTCATGGAACAGGGACACGGGAGAGGTCAGGGGACAGGGACACGGGAGAGGTGAGGGGTCAGGGGACAGGGACATGGGGACACAGGAGAGGTGAGGGGTCAGGGGGATGGAGCCATGGGGACCAAGGAGGGGTTCAGAGTCAAGGACAGAGTCACAGGGACACAGGAGGGGGTGAGGGCTCAGGGGACAAAGGGGGGACCACGGGGGTCAGGGGGGACCAGGCAGATGCCACAGGGACCAAGGAACAGGCAGAGCCAAAGCCATGGGGATGGAGGATGGAGCTGGGGACCAAGGAGGGACCACAAGGGCCAGGGGGACTGGAGCCATGGGGACTGAAGAATGGGCATGGGGGGCCAGGCTGGAGCCACAAGGACCTGGCAGAGACCACAGGGGTCAGGGGGAACTGGACTGGAGCCTGGAGCACTCAGGCACAAAGCTGAGCCTCGAATCTCAACCCCAGAGGGAGCTGAGTGACCCCTCACCCCCTCTGAAGGGTGGAGAGGCTGAGGGGGGGATCCAAGGCGCTTCCCAGGGTCCCTGCAGGAGAAGCTCTTCCCCCCCAGCCCCTCAGGGCCTCACCTGGAGTGCAGCACGGGGATGGAGCACTTGGTGAGGATGCTGCCGATGATGATGGCCTCCCTGAGCGTGCAGGTGCCCGACTCACAGAGCGGGATGAGGATCCCTGGGAATGGGAAAAGGGGGACAGTCAGGCACCGACCACCTCTGTCCACAGGCAGAACCTGGGGCTCAGCCCCTTCCTCCCAGAAATCCCCATCCTTGCACAGCCCCTCAGGCCAGCCCCAGAGGAGACCCTGCAGGAGCCCTACCCTTGAACCAGGCTGCTGGCTTGAACAGAGCCTTCTTCAGAGCCATGTACAGGTGGAAGTTGAGCCGCTTGTACTCGGCGATGTCGTCCCGGATCCGCGGCAGCAGCACCAGGTTGTAGAACCTCTGGGCCATCCTCTCCTTCAGGTTGGAGGAAAATATCCTGGGATCAGCAAAGCATGAAGGGATGGATGAGGAAAGAAGGCCAAATAGGCAGGTTTGTTTTTTATAAACCTGACTCTGGTTATGGGAAAAAAACACCCCAAAAATCCCATGCCAGAGGGTCCCTGAGGTGACCTTACCTGGTGGCCTGGTACATGGCAGCAGCTGTCCACGCCTCTGGCTCAGTGATGTAGAGGATCTGCTCCCAGTTGGACAAGGCAGGAATGATTTTAAACGCCTTGGGGAGCTTCCCACTCCTGTACTTGGACAGCACCTTCAAAGACAGGGACACGGGCCAGGCCGTGACTGGGGGAAGTGACAGCAGGGACAGGAGCGCATTGTCACCTCAGGGTGGTGGCTGCTCTGTCCTCACCTCCCTGACACCCCTGTAGACCTCCAGGACACGGGGGTCCAGCTGGGGCATGGGGCAGCCCGAGAGCTCCGAGAGCGCCGTCGCCACCTCCGTCTGCTTCTCCGTGATCTTCTCCATGATGATGTCGGCCAGCGTGCGCCTGGGCAGGCAGGGACAGCGTCAGCGGGGACACGGGAGGGGACAGGGCAGCGGGGACACGGGAGGGGACAGGGCAGCGGGGACACGGGAGGGGACAGGGCAGCGGGGGACACGGGAGGGGACAGGGGAGCGGGGGACACGGGAGGGCTGGCAGGGGACAGGGGTGAGCCAGGGGCTGAAAAAGGAGCGGGGCAAGCTGGGGTCTATGCAGGGCCGACACGGGACCAGGGGCAGAATCGGGGGTCGCAGGGGGCTGACACCGGGCAGGGCAGAGCCGGGTCCGCGCCGGGAGCGGCCCCTGCCCCGTGCACTCACCTCAGCGGCGGGTTCTTGTTCATGAACATCTCGATGGCTTTCTCGTCCTCGGGGTCCACCTCCACCTCCCCGCCGTAGTCCCCACTCCGTCCCGCGGCCGCCGCCGCCTTCTCCAGCGAGGGCCACTCCTCATCATCCTCCGAGTCCGAGCCGGGCCCTGCGGGGAGCGCTGCTGGCTCAGCCCGGGGCCGGCTCAGCCCGGGGCCGGCTCGGCCCGGGGCCGCGCACCCTCGGCGGTTCACCGGGCTTTAGTCACCGGGGGCTCACCGAGAACCGCGCTGCGCTGCCGGGGCCCTGCGGGCGCTCCGGGGCCGTGCTCGGCCTCCAGCTCCTCCTGCTGCCGCCGCGCCTGCTCCAGGATGCGGCGGGACAGCCGCGCGTCCACGAAGCCATCCCCGCCGCCGTCCCCGCCGCCGTCCCCGCCCGGCGCCCCCGGATCTGCTCGGCCAAGGGCAGCGCCGGGGCCGCGCCGGAGCCCCGCGCCCGCCGGGCCTTGGGCATCGCGGCCGAACCGGGCCACAGCGGCTCCGGGCCGGCGGGCCACACGTGGGATCGGCCCCCGCCTTTTCCGGGGCGGATCCGCCTCTGCCCGGCGCCGCCGGCTCCGCCCGTTCCGGTGGGGGCGCCGGCACCATGGGGGTCACCTGGTGAGCGAGGGGGGCTCCGGGACGGGGGGAAGGCACCGGGATAGAGTCCTGGAATGGGGGGCGGCACCGGGAAGGGCTCATGGAATGGGGGGCAAGGACCGGGAAAGGGTCCTGGAATGGGGGGCAAGGACCGGGAAAGGGTCCTGGAATGGGGGGGAAGGCACCGGGAAGGGCTCTTGGAATGGGGGGGCGGAACCGGGATAAACTCCAGGAATGGGGGGGCAGAACCGGGATAGACTCCTGGAATGGGGGGCAAGGCACCGGGATAAACTCCAGAAATGGGGGGGGGAAGGCACCGGGAAAGGGTCCTGGAATGGGGGGCGGCACCGGGATGGGTTCCTGGAATGGGGGGCCGGACCCGAGAGGGCTCCCGGCGCGGAGAGCCCCGGGGCCCCGGTGGGTCCGTGAGCCCGGCCCGTGTCGCAGCGTGTCGCAGGTGCCGGTGGCCGAGGGCAAGAGCGTGCAGCAGACGGTGGAGCTGCTGGCGCGGCGGCTGGAGGCGCTGGGCGCGGACAAGCAGGGCACCTTCGGCGTGGACTGCGAGACCTACCACACCGCGGCCACCCTGGGCACGCAGGGTCAGCAGCCCGGGCAGCCCTTCCCCAGGCTCCTCTCTCCCTTTTCCTTCCCGTCCTCTTCCTCATTCCCTCCTTCTCCTTCCCCACCTTCCCTGGAGGCGCCTGGGTCTGATGCTGGCTGATGGGGTTTAGGGGTTCCAGTGGCAGTGCTGGGCTGAGGGCTGGACTGGCTGATCTTGAAGCTCTCTTCCAACTTAGTCGATGATTCTACAATTCCTTCTTCCCTTTCTCCTTTTCCCCTCTTCCTTTCACCTCTTTTCCCTTTCCTTTTCCTTTCTCCCTCCTCCCCTGGCTCCCCCCATCCCTTCCAGGCCCTGATGTGATGTTCACACTGAGCCCACACAGCCCTGGCTCTGCTGAGCCATTGTTCCCAGCCAGACCCACTGGAATCTTCCAGAGCAGCTTTTTCCTGCTTTTTTGGCGGCTGGAACGTGGAGGAGAGGCCGAGCCCAGCTCCCTCCGGGCAGTGGGTGGGAGGTGGCTGCTCCTGGGGTTCTCCCTTCACCTCACCCCAAGCCATGCTGATGTTTTGTCCCTATAAATCTCCATACGGAAATCCAAGCTCTTCCCTGAACGGATCCCATAATAAACACGTGAAGATCCAGAATTAAAGCAAGGACGAGAGGCAGGAAGAGGAGCTGCTTTAGGGCAGGAATTTGGTTTTGCAGCCCGGCTCCCTCGCTGTCGTTGCAGGGCAGACAGGGAAGCTGATGTACGTCATGCACAACTCCGAGTACCCCCTGAGCTGCTTCGCCCTCTTCGAGAACGGGCCCTGCCTGGTGGCTGATGCCAACTTCGACACCCTCATGGTGAAGCTCAAGGGCTTCTTCCAGAACGCCAAGGCCAACAAGATCGAGAGCCGCGGCACGCGCTACCAGTACTGCGACTTCCTGGTGAAGCTGGGCACGGTCACCATGGGCCCCAGCGCCAGGGGCATTTCCGTGGAGGTGAGAGCCCTTGGGAAGGCAGGGGAGTGCCTGGATGGGCACGGGGATTCTGTGGGGGAAGCTGGAGAAGGGAGGTTTAGGGGGGATCTCATTGAGGGTGAGGCGAGCCAGCGGGGAGGATGGAGAGAGGTGGGTTAGTTATAAGGGCCTGGAGTTCCAGGAGAAATGGGAATGGTTTCATGCTGCCAGAGGGCAGGGAGAGATGCGATATTGGGGAGAAATTCTTCCCTGGGAGGGTGAAAAGGCCCTGGAATGGATGTTCCAGAGCAGCCGTGGCTGCCCCCAGATCCCTGGAAGCGTCCAAGGCCAGGGGACTTGGAGCAGCCTGGGACTGCAGGTGTCCCTGCCCTGGATGAGCTTTAAGGTCCCTTCCCCAAACCATTCCATGATTCTGGTGAATACTTTGAGATGTTTCCATGAAAAGCCTTCCCTGTAGGGAGGCTCCAGGGCTGTGGGGATGTGATCCCAGGTGGAATTCTGCCCTGCTGTCGCCTCCAGGGGGTCTGGGATGTGTTCCCAGGTGGAGTACTGTCATTCCTGCCAGCTCCAGGGCTGCGGGGATGTTTTCCCAGATGGAATACTGCCCCTATGAGCAGCTCCAAGCCTTTAGGGCTGTGTTCCCAGGTGGAATTCTGCCCCTGCTGTCACCTCCAGGGCCCTGGGCTGTAGTTCCCTGTCCTGTCCTGTGTCTCAGTCGTGCTGCTGGTGCAGCAAGGTTTGGGCTGCAGGTTTGATCTCCTCTCCCAAGGTTTAATCCTTGGTGCTCCAGGGCTGTCCCTGCAGTGGCAATCCCTGCAGGAATTCCAGCCAGATAAAAAGCTGATTAAATTCCAGCTGCAACACGAGCACCATCCCTGAGGTTAATCAGCATGGTGAAGGGGATAAAACAACCTCTCCAGTGCTAATTCCGTGCTGGTTTGGGGCTTGCTGTCCTTCCCTTTGGAAAGGGTCTCTTGCATGTTCCCAGCATGTCCTGGCTGGAATTCCATCCCAGGTGGAATACTGTCATTCCTGCCAGCTCCAGGGCTGCGGGGATGTTTTCCCAGGTGGAATTCCACCCCTATGAGCAGCTCCAAGCCTTTAGGGCTGTGTTCCCAGGTGGAATTCTGCCCCTGCTGTCACCTCCAGGGCCCTGGGCTGTGTTCCCAGGTGGAATTCCACCCCTAGGAGCAGCTCCAAGCCTGCAGGGCTGTGTTCCCAGGTGGAATACTGCCCCTGTGTGATCGCCAACGACTGCTGGAACCTGCTGATGGAGTTCATGCAGAGCTTCATGGGCAGCCACGTGCCCGGCATCCCGTCGGTGTTCGGCTCCAAGCACGACGGCACCTACAGCCCCGGGGACACCATGGTGCAGTACATGGAGCTCTTCAACAAGATCCGCAAGCAGCAGCAGGTGCCCGTGGCTGGCATCAGGTGAGGAGCAGCTCCCGACTGCATCCTGATCCTGGCTGTGGCAGGAGAACACCCAGAACGTGCCACGGGAGGTTTTCCTGCTGGAGGTTTCCTGACTCAAAGCTGTGCCGTGTTCTCTGTAAGCAGAGATGTCAAAACTGTCTGAAAACTGTGGGAGTGTGTGCTGGGATTCCTGGGATTTTATTAATTCTGGGCGTCCTCCACGTTTTGGGATTCTTGGATCCATTGGTTCTGTGGTTTTTTGGACAGTGTTTCACACAGGGAAAAGAGAAATTCCAGAAGACATCTCTTCAATTTCTATTTTTTATATCCACATCGGTGTTTTGTTGTATTTATATTTATTTATTTATACAGGTGATGTTATCAGGGTCACCAGTGCTTCCGTGGCAGAGCCAGTCCCAAGTCTCACTGCCACCAGAGCATTTTTGGGGCTTTTGTTCTGTTCTCATGGCATTTTTTTAATCTCATGTCACCCCAGGGGCCATGTGGGGTGTGACCCCATTATCTCAGAGCCCCCAGCCCAGGTTCTCCATCACCTCACGGTCCCTGAGGGACCCACCTCAGGGAACCTTTGGGGTGTCCCTCAATCACCTCAGGGAACCTTTGGGGTGTCCCTCAATCACCTCAGGGAACCTTTGGGGTATCCCTCAATCACCTCAGAGACCCCTTGGGGTGTCCCCTCACCACCTCACAGACCCCTTGGGGTGTCCCCTCACCACCTCACAGACCCCTTGGGGTGTCCCCTCACCACCTCACAGACCCCTTGGGGTGTCCCCTCACCACCTCAGGGGACCTTTGGGGTGTCCCCTCACCACCTCACAGACCCCTTGGGGTGTCCCCTCACCACCTCACAGACCCCTTGGGGTGTCCCCTCACCACCTCAGGGACCCTTCAAGGTGTCCCCCCAATCCCCTCAGGGTCTTCATCCCCTCAGAACTCCCTTGGCCCCCCCGGGGTGCCCGCTCATCGCCTCAGGCTCTCCGTCTCAAGGCATCCATCACCTCAAAGCCCTCACAGCCTCCCCCGTGTGCCCCCCTTCACCTCAGGGCGCGCCCCCCCCATCACCTCAGCCAACCCATCACCTCAGGGCCCCCGTGGGGTGCCTCCCACCCCACGCCGCCCCCTCGGGGCCCCCCGCGCCGCCCCTTTAAGAGCCTCTTTGTCTCCGAGACACCCTTATTTACCCTCCCGTGCCTCAAAAGAACTTCGGCCCCGCGATTCACAAAGCCCGGTACGTCACGGGCGGGGGCGGGACTCGAACCCGCGCCGGCCCGCCCCCCCCGGCGCCCATTGAACAGCGCCCTCTGCCGGCTGCGCAGACTGCGTACGCCCCGGCACCGCTCTGCCCGCCGCGGCGTACGCTACGCCAGCGGGGTGCGTACGCTACGCAAGCAGCTTAAACATCCGCCGTCTTAGCCTGTGTGCTGCGCTACGCAACCGGCGTAAGCCGCGGAGAGGGAGGCGGGTGTTGGCGCTGAGTGACGCGCCCTCCAGCCAATGGAAGGGCGGGGCGGGGCGCGGCGGCCAATGGGCGGGGAGGGGGCGTGGCCGGCCGGGGCGTCTCGCGCTGGGTGACAGCTCGCGCGTGCTGGTGATGGCGGTAAATAAAGGGGACGGGGGGGCGAGGGGGGGGGGGGAACACAGGGGACGGGGCCCCGCCAAGGGGGGGGGGGGGGGGGGGGGGGGGGGGACACACAGGGGACGCGACCCCTCATGAGGACAGGGAGGGACAGAGGGGTGCGGGGATGTTGGGGCTGAGGAGGAGGAGGAGGAGAGGAGGGGTCTTCGGTGCTCCCCCCCCTCAAAGGGACCCCCCCCGGTTCTCCGCGGAGGGGCTGAGGCGGACCCCGGTGCGCTCCCCCCTCAGCCCTCACGGGGGTCGCCGCCTTTGTGTGCGGGCGGGACCCCCGCGCCGGGCTCGGCGGCTCCGCAACTTTGCCTTTGTTGAGGGAACGTCCCCCCCTCATCCTCGGGATCCGTTCCCACCTCCCCTTTATCCTCCCCTTCCTAAAATCCCCCAAGCCCCCCTCCAGCTCCTCCTTCCCGGGACCCTCTCCCCCTTCCCCGGGAGCGTGAGGGGGTGCTGGGGGTCGTGGCTTTGCTGGGAGGGGTGGAGAGAAAAAAAAAAAAAAACCTTTAAAAACTGCCTTGGAACCTCTGTGTTGAAAAGGCACGAAAACGGGGAAATTCGGTGCGGGTTTGTGTTTATTTAGGGAAAAAAAAACCAACCCTAAAAAGCCGTGCGTTTGTGTCCCCAAGAGGGGGGGGAAGAGCTGAACTTGATCCGGGGGAGGCTTTGGCAGCGAAACTGCTCCAAAATCCCCCTTTTTAAACCTCCAAGGGGATCCCCCCTCACCACGGAGCCACGGGAATCACGGATCAGCGATAACCGAGCCCTCAAAAACCCGAATCCAGCGCTGGGAAAGCTGCTAATTTTAGGGGGGAAAAAAAATCTCCTGTTAATCGCTTTACACGTAGGGAACGAGGCTGATCCTTGTGCCGAAGGAGCATCCCGTTATCCCGGAATCCCGGAGCCGGGAGAGGGGGAAGTTGCCTTCACTTTGCGGAGTTCTTGGCTGTAGTTTTTAGTCGGGGAGAGATGCCTGGAGTGGCTGGGCTCGTCTGCTGTGAAACGAGGCAAAATTTGGTCCTTTCACGCTCCGCTGCCTCGGGGAAGGTGCTCCTGGAGGCCGGGGGTGGAGGTGGCGATTCCAGGGAAAACGGATGGATTTCAGCGGGAATTCTTCCTGGAGTTTTCAGGCTTTCCTGTGAGGGAGAAAGGCAGAACCCAGCGGATTAAAAGGGATGATTTGTAGGGCTGGAAGCAGAAAATAAGGTGGTGTGGCTGAGGGCTGAGCTGCAGCTGAGGAAATGTGGCTGGGATGTGGGAATGAGGATGGGAGAAAGAGCTGGAGGATGAGAGGGGATGAACCGGTGGAATTGTGAATTAAAAACTCCCTGTGGATGCGAGCAATGTGGATTAAATTTGGATTAAATGAGTGTTGCTGTGAAGTGTTGGGAGCTGCCCCGTGTGGAATTTTCACCAAAATTTGGCTGCTCTGCCTTGTGCAGCTGCCCTGGGCGGCTCCTGTGGTTTCTGCAGGGGCAGAGAGGTTGGGTGGTGTTTAAAAACCCAAAAAGGAGAAGGCAACAAAAGCGTTTGGGGTTTTATTTGGTGTTTTTGACTGCCTTGAGAGCGGGCTGGGTGCAGATATTTGGGGGTGATGTGCCAAGTGTGAGCAGCATTTGATGTCTCCGAGCTTTCAGCAAACCATAAATGTGCATTTATTCCTCCCCTGATCATTCTCCCAATGAATACGAGCTGGCTCCAAGTGGAAAAGGGTGTTTTGAAGTTGGCAGATTTTCTTTCCAGCGTGAAATAATTCCGGGTTTTGTGCAAGCTGGGTTTGTTAAAAGAGAATTTTGCTGGTTCAGGAGCAGGGCTCGGACAATAGTCACACATGCAACGGGTTAGGGGCTAGAAAAGAGCCAAAAAAGCCCAAAATGGGGGTTTTATTATTTTTTTTTTGGCTGTTGTGTGGCCAAGGATTGTTAGGGAGGAATCTCTTGCTGCAATTCCTGCCGAGATTCCGGCTCCATGTGGTCCCAGCCTTGTGAGGATGGAGAAATTTGGGAGCAGCCTCGTGTGCTGGGGCTGGGGGGATGTTTAAATTGGGAAGGAAGTGCTGGCAATTGCTCAGTGGGGACAGAAAAAAGCACATTCAGGTTTGGGTGTCTTTTTTCTGCAGAGGATTTCTCGTGGCTGCTGCAGCTCTGCCCACATCACACGCTGCAGGTCGTTTTCCTCGCTGCCAAACACACTCACTTGTTAATTATTATTTTTAAGCAGCCCTGTGTTGTCTCAGCACCTCTGAACACGTGACGAGAAGCACTTGCTCAGCACCAAAAGTGGTTTATTCAGTATAAAGGACTGAAAATACCTTTTAAATCCTGTTTTTCTTGGCCTTTCCCCCCCCTTCTTTAACTGTTTTTATACTGAAATGTCACAGGGCTGCTGCTGGGACTCATAAAGTGAAATTTAGTGTTTTCTCAGCCCTCAGAAGATGTTAATGGATTGATTTAGAACAGTCAACAAATGGAAATATTTCAAAACAATACAAAATTCAGCTGCTGGTGTGTAAGTGTGGATTCCTTCCCGAGTGTTCTTAGCTGTGAGGAAGCGTGAAAGGTTTTCTGAAATGGACCCTAGCTCTGAGGCAAAGCAAAACCCAGGGGTTTGGTTTAAAATTGTTATAAATAAACAGAGAAATAATAAACAAGTTGCCTGACAACTTTACCAGTGGCTGAGGTCAGGAGGAATGGGAAGATGGGGTTGTTTCAAAGGTCTCCCCTCCAACCCTTCCTTTTCTGCAGGAATCCTCTCCGGTGAGAATGAGAACTTTCCTCACTTTGTTCAACAACATTTGTGGTTTTCAGCTTGAATATTTCATCAAGGGTTGGGTTTGTTGCTGGGCTTTTAATTTTTTTTTTTTTTAATTTATTTTCCCTTTGGGGAACGAAACCTTGGGAGATGTTTTTATCTCAGCAGCCTGATAATCATAAATTCTCCACCCTTTCCCAAACCCTTTCACCTTTCCCAAAATCTTCACCCTTTCCCAAAATCTTCACCCTTTCCCAAAATATTTCCCTTTCCCAAACTCCTCCACCCTTTCCCAAAATCTTCACCCTTCCCAAACCCCTTTCCCAAACCCCTCCACCTTTCCCAAACCTTTCACCCCAGGCTCTTGTCTAGAAAAAAGCCCCCCTTGAATTCCAGTGAAAGAAAAGGTCCCTCATTAGTGTCAAGCCCTTAATGAGCCTTTGCTCCCAAGGATGCTGAGCAAATCCAAATTGTTGAACAGAAATGATTTAAAAATCCCATTCAGAGCTGAGAACATCTGGGCTGTTGGTTGATGTTTCCCTGTGTGCCCTCAGATGCTCTTCACTTTGGGGTTTTAGGAGGTTTGAGCTCCAGGATGGGTCAGATGAGGCTTTTGTGGCTCGTGGAATTCCAGCACAGAGCAGCCAGAACACCCCATGAAAACAAACCAGATTAAAAGGTAAAACTGGAGGTGGCATCCTGCCCTTTGCCAGTGTCTTTGGGATGGAATTTCAGGTGAACTAAAGCTGATTATTTGTCTGTTTGCTGTAATTGATATCCTGGTGCACTGAGGAAAATTCCGATTAAATCCCACTGTTCTGCTGGCTGTGAAAGGAGAAAAAATCCCTTTTTGCAACAGCATTAAGGAGTGTCTGTAGTAGGCAGAAAAGAACACAAAGCTGCCAAGTTTATATATTTTTCCTAATTGTTGT